AATTAATACCGACAATACCTGAAATTTGTTTTTGAATTAATCTACATTATTACGTTATTATATTTATGCTAAAAGTTTGATTGGGGAAAAATATTGATCAAATTTGATTTAATATTTTAGTTAACAATTTTATTTATTTTTTTAAATAAAAAATAATAGTAAACACTTAAAATTTCTCTATAAAAATTTGATATTAAATTTGTAACTAATTATATTGGGCCCGTATAGGGGCCTTCAGTTATCTAATATTTATATATATATATATATAGTAATTTCTTCTAAATTTGAATATATGAAATGTTCGGCACCTAGTGAACAAATCTCTTGATGGGTGCATTGGTCTTAATAACAAATATCTAAGCTTTGTTTTAAGAGGAGGGTCAAGGGTTTGATTCTCATTTTGAACAATTATTTACACATTTTCTATTTTCCTCTTTCTCTCCCAATATAAACTCTCACATGTTTTACTTTTTTTCCTTCTTCTTTTTTATTACCTTTTTTATACTTTAACCTTTAGTCATAATTTCATTTACGTTTTATGAATTTCTTGTGACATGATAAAATTAAAAAGTCATATTCAATCACTTTTTTATTTTTCTTGAGAAATTTTGACTATTTAGTTGAGAAATTCTTTAAGATAATTTTTTTCCCTCAAAAACTGAAAGGTTGTTTTGTTTGTTTTTGTAATAGCAGTATTAATCTTTATTTTTCTCATTAATGTTTTAAACATCACATTTAAATAACTATGCACCTATACTATGTGATTTATAATAATTTTATATTAAAAGAAGTGAGCACCCACCAGTGGCAGAACTAAATTTTGGCTAAGGAGTATCAAAATATAAAGTAGTGAAATTGTATAGAAGCCAAGGAGTGTCAATATGTAATATATACACATAAAAAATATTTTTATTCTACCCTCACAATGTAACCTTCCGACGAAGGGACCCCTCAACAACATGTGGCTCCACTACTGGCACCCACAAACCGAAAATCTCGGATCCGTCACTGTAATTTGATATTATAAAAGTAAAAAAAAAGATATATTTTTCTCTTTTTGTTTTATTTGTGTTTGCTTTGGAATAATAAAAAGAAGAAATGGGAGAAAAATCTTCATTTATTCTTTTTCTTTATATTGGTGATGTGCTCGAATAACAACAACTTAAAAGGAGGATTTGTAAAGCTGAATTTGTCAGGGTTAAAATATTAAGAAAAATTCATTAAAATGTCCTACTTATGATTGCATTATTCATAACGCCAATATAATTAAGACATCAAGACGTTCATAGTTTTGTAAGCAGGGAAAATTAGAAAATGCATTCGTAGTAACTTTTTTTATACACTCATAAATTCTAATTTAATTTGGTGCATGTGACAAAATTAATACAACATTCATCCATTTTTACTTATTTATTTATTTATTTAGTATTGACTTGACATATAAAAAAATAAAAATAAAAATAAATTTTATTTTATTTTTAAACATAATAAATTTAATATTTTATATATATATTTTTTATTTTATTTTAAAATTAATAATTATTATTAATAATAAAAAATAAATCAAAAATAATAAATTATCTCTTCATTTTAGTCTTTAGATAAGAGTTGTTTAAGCAACGTCAGCTACAGCATAAGGCAAGTAAAGCAAAGATTTTAGGCCCACAATTTTTGCAGTCTCAAATTTTAATAGTAATAATAGGTTTATAAATTAATTAAAAAGATAAATATTTTGAACAATTTAAAAAGAACAATAAATATTTTTTAATAAACTAAGAAAAGAAAATATCAAAATATATATGAACGATTCAAAGTAACAACAATATATTTATTGTGATTGTATAACTGAAGTGTAAACAGGCTAAATTCACGACTTTACCATTACTTTGAGTGAGGTAAATAAATTTTATCTAATAGACATTTGACAATTAACAGAAGTATTTCAAAACAAATTTAAAAAAAAATACATGAGTACTATAGAAGTCATAGTCAAAATCTTAAGAAAAGAAAAGTATTGACAACACGAATAATAAAATAATAAAGCAAAAGAAACAATGATGGTATAAAATTGAAGAATAAGATACTCCATATAGTAATAATAATGATAAGAAGAAAGAGCAGATAAAGGTTATCCAAACCATAACCATGCTCTCCCACAGTTCGACTACCTACTTATGTTTTACCTTAATTATAAATTATTATGCTCTCCTCCTATAATTAAAATTATGCCCTTGATGAATTGAAGATGTGTCATATCAAACAATGCAAGTGTATAAAAATTATTTTTGATTTTCTATTTGAAAGTAACAATTAATATCATTTGTTGACGAGAAAATGGAAAATATTGTGTTAACCAGAAAAGTTCCTTAAAACTTAATAGTCACGATATTAATGTTTTCACAATATTAACTAAATAATTTATGTAAGAATGGTTAGGTGAGCCCTAGACATTGAGCGTTAAACATGTTTAAATGTACTAATGGTCAGGGCATAAGCGTCACAGAGTTAAGTTGCATATGTAAGTTTCAAAGGCTTTTCCGTTTTTGACATTAATTATTCCTAAAATGCATGAATGGTTAGGGTATAAGCGTCACAAATTAAGTCCCACGTGTAAGTTTTAAGGTGTTTCAACATTATTTCACCCTAGGGCAAGCACCAAAACTGCCTTTGAAAACATTATTATAAAGAAATGAAACTTGAGTTTAGCTCGACCTTAGAAGTAATATACGAGGGAAAATTGTCCAAAAATTATAGAAGGACATCATCCATCCTATTATCCACCAATGTGAGACTCTTTGACATGCATATCTATTTTCCTTCTTTTAACTTGTTACCATCAATTATAATAATCCTCAAATTAGATCTCATAATCAATAATATTGTCATAAGTTAATCGCTTACTCTTCTTATATCTAAACTTCCCTTCTTTTAATTTGTTACCACCAAAATAAATCTAATTATAAATTTTTGATGATCCTACTCAAACTAGATCTCTTAATCAATAATATTGTTATAAGTTAATCACTTACTTTCCTTCTATCTACTCTCCTTCTAATTTGTTGCCATTGAGTAATTATGATATGAATTTACAATGATCCTACTGAAACTAAATACAATATTGTTAAGCTAATCACTTACTTTACTTAATCTAGATTCCTTCTTAAATTTGTTACCATCAAATAATCTGATTAATCAGAATTTATAATGATCCTACTCAAACTAAATTTCATTATCAATACAATATTCTTAAGTTAATCAATTACTCTCGGTATATCTAGTTTCTTCTTTAAATTTGTTACCATCGAATAATTCTTAGTTAGAATTCATAATGATCCTACTCATGATCCTAATACTCAAACTAAATATCATAATATGTGTAATATTGTTAAGTTAATCAATTACTCTCCATATATCTAGTTTCCTTCTTTAAATTAGTTGCCGTCAAATAGTTCTAAGTACTGAATTTGTAATGAACCTACTCAAACTACTTGCCTTCTTTTAATTTATAATGATCCTAATAATCAAATCAAACAACTTGCCTTCTTTTAATCTATAATGATCCTACTCAAATTAAATTAAAACACACTATAAATGGGAGTATTAGATGGAAGTCATAATTAAGTTGTTTCTACCATAGTCCCTATATTAGAAAATTTAAACATCAAAGATGAGTTGCTGCCAACTTCTCATTTTCTCTCTCAACAATAGCATTAACACCTCCCATTAATGCTATTTCTTCCTCTCAATAACCTCTGCTATAATAATAACTCCCTTCATCTTCTCCACCTGTTCCCTATAATCCCTCTTTTCCCCCCTTCTCCATAGCCCCTTTAATTCCCTTCACAAGAAAAAATCATTTTCTTCTTCATCCATGTAAACAACCTCAAAAAAAAACACACACACAAAGTTTTCAGCCTCCAAAAAGTTTGACCAGATCTGGATTAATTTTCTACACTTCTTGTTTTTTCAATCCAAAGGCTTCATAGAGAGTAAGTTTACTTTTTTTTTTTCTTCTCTTGAATTGTTTACTCAGTTGAACATCCTTCGTCAGAAAATTATACTGCATATATCTCTGTGTAAGATAAATTATTGTTTTTTCATACAAAAATGATGTGTTGAATTTGCTATTTGTTATATATGCCATTGTTGAGAGACTTGTATAGGAGTGAAGTTTGGACTTTACCAGATATTAGTTGTCACTATATATATGTTTTACCCAAGTTTGAAAAAGGAAAAGAAAAAAAGAAGACCTTCTGTCCGTGTTCACACTTTGAGTCAACTTTATGTTTATTTATTATTCCAATTTTTTCTCATTTCACTTTTGGCACAGTCAAAAAGAATTAAATTTTATTTTCCTTGTCACATCAAGACATAGAAAAGAATAGAATAAAAACAAACTCGTCTTTGTTTTGACGTCCCAAAATAAAATGAGGTAAAAAATATTTAAGTTTTCTATACATAGAGACAAGCAAGTAGAGAGTGTGGTGGGGGTTGGGGGTTGGGGGTGGGTTTAGGGTTTGAAGAGATTTATTTGTGTATATATATGCATCATATAGTGAGAAGTTATACAATCACATCAAGAATGTCTTCTTGAGAAGTTCAGTTTTTTGAGTAAGTCTATAATTTGTTCTAGTTACGTTTTTTTGTGTTATCTGTATACGATCTTGAGCTATTTCTCAACAACAACTACACTAATTTTAATTTAAAACCATGGTGGCATGACGAATTAAGGAACCCTAGAACAAAAAATGTAAATTTATAAGTCTTCTCATCCTAAAAATGATCATTTTTAACAATCGTACATGTTTGTGATTTTTTATTTTTTTAAATATCCTTGAACATATGTTGTTGAGCTTTTGCTTTTGTCCACGCTTCCGTATATATAATCTTTACCATGTGTGTTGTTTTGTAATTCACAAAGATGGGCCTTTCTTTTCTTTTTTTTTGCAGATGAGATAATTTATGTTTTTAAGAGAAAAAAATTGAAGAAGAAAAAGGTGATAATCAAGATGTTTAATAGCCACCAGCACTTGCTCGACATATCGTCCTCAGCTCAACGAACACCTGATAACGAGTTGGACTTCATTCGTGATGAAGAGTTCGATAGCAACTCTGGTGCTGATAATATGGAAGCTCCCAATTCAGGTGATGACGATCAAGCTGAACCAAACCAACCTCCAAACAAGAAGAAGCGTTATCATCGCCACACTCAGCACCAGATTCAGGAAATGGAGTCGTAAGTAATTAAAATTTAAATTATTTAATTTATATATATTAACAGTACGTTTATATATAACAATTGTTCCATTTTTTGTGTCATTGTACAGCTTTTACAAGGAATGCAATCATCCAGATGACAAGCAAAGGAAGGAATTGGGAAGAAGACTCGGGTTGGAGCCATTACAAGTGAAATTTTGGTTCCAGAACAAGCGTACTCAGATGAAGGTGAAACTTTTTTTTCCTTAATGTGAAGTTAATGTATTGGATGTAAATAAATATCCAAACATTTTGGGAAAATTGAGATTAATAGATTCGTTCAATTCATATAGACAGGATGATTGAGGTATGTGTTCTTGACAAGTTTTTAATTAGATTGTGATTTATTGTTGTTGTAGGCTCAACATGAGCGATGTGAGAACACACAGTTGAGGAATGAAAATGAGAATCTTCGCGCTGAGAACATAAGGTACAAAGATGCTTTGAGCAATGCAGCATGCCCAAACTGTGGAGGACCAGCAGCTATAGGAGAGATGTCATTTGATGAGCATCAGTTGAGGATAGAAAATGCTCGTCTTAGAGATGAGGTAAGAGTGTTACTTATTAAAAACTACGATATCATTTTAACTTTTGTTACCTTGCCTCAATTTTCAAGTTATTAATATTTCTTGTTGTGTACACCGATAAATGTAGTTACTTTATGAAACTTGTAATTTTAAATGTGTCACGAGATTTAAATAGATATAAAATTTGTTAAGAGTATTAAATAATCTTTAAAAAGGGTGGGAGGGGGAGTGGAGGGTCAATTTTGCCTTTAACGGTTTAAATATACCCCTCCTCGGTTAGGCCAGTCTAGGGTGGAAACTCAATCCTACATAACCCTAATGTTTTGATAAGGTGATGCCAACCCATTTTACACCTCCTCTCCAATTATCCTTCCACAACCAGCATTTCCCCTTATCCTTCATTGATGTGAAACATTTTTCTCTTTAGCAGATTAGTAGTACCTTGCTATTTTTAGAAATAATTTAATTTTAAAATTATAATTTTACCTTTTGTAAGATGATTTCTTATTTTTAAACTATAAAATATCCAAAAAAAATCACTTTTAATTTTGCACACAATTAAACATTGTCACTTTTATTAGGATGAGCAAGAACTTTGTAATAAGAAAATAGTATCACATGAAATGGCATTTTAGGTGACTTGACAGAAATCTAAAGTTATTTTATGGATTTTCCTTTTTTATCATACAGATTGACAGGATAACTGGAATAGCTGGAAAATATGTTGGTAAATCAGGACTTGGCTTTTCTCATCAACTTCCTCTTCCTCCGCCCGAAGCTCCTCGGGCTCTGGATCTTGCTTTTGGGCCTCCATCGGGCCTGCTTGGAGAAATGTACGCTGCTGGTGACCTTCTAAGAAATGCTGTTACGGGCCTTACAGATGCTGAGAAGCCCGTGGTCATTGAGCTTGCTGTTACTGCAATGGAGGAACTTATAAGAATGGCTCAAACTGAAGAGCCATTATGGATGCCAAGCTCAGGCATCATCTCTTCTGAGATTTTATGTGAGCAAGAATATGCTCGTATTTTCCCTCGAGGCATTGGCCCTAAGCCAGCTACACTCAATTCTGAAGCCTCACGAGAATCTGCTGTTGTTATTATGAATCATATCAATTTAGTTGAGATTTTGATGGATGTGGTAAGATGAGATCTCTAATTTTACATGCACCCTTACCTTCCTCGGACCTTGTGTGAACACGGATATGCTTTGTGCACTTTTTCAACTAATTATTCTTGTTATGATTTCAGAACCAATGGACTACTGTTTTTGCTGGCCTAGTATCAAAAGCAATGACTCTTGAAGTCTTATCAACTGGCGTAGCAGGAAATTACAATGGAGCATTGCAAGTGGTATTGTTCAAATTCTACTTAAAATATTTTGTATCCTTGTACTTCGAATTTTTTTATTTTTTTTTAAACAGATGAAATATACTCTAATATATTTTTCTGTTATGTTCTAATTTTAGATGACAGCAGAGTTTCAAGTTCCATCTCCACTTGTTCCAACTCGGGAGAACTATTTCGTAAGATATTGTAAACAACATGGTGAAGGGACTTGGGTAGTGGTTGATGTTTCCTTGGACAATTTGCGCCCTACTTCAGTTCCGCGTTGCAGAAGAAGGCCATCTGGTTGTTTAATTAGAGAAATGCCAAATGGTTACTCAAGGGTATCGACATTCCTCAAATTTTAAACTCTTTATTAGAAGATGATTAAACTCTTTATAATTAATTAAGTGGTAACACATTGTTATTTGTCTAGGTTATATGGGTTGAACACGTTGAGGTGGATGAAAAAGCTGTCCATGACATCTACAAACCTCTTGTCAATTCAGGGATTGCATTTGGAGCAAAACGCTGGGTAGCAACTTTAGATAGACAATGTGAACGCCTTGCAAGTGTATTGGCAATTAACATCCCAACAGGAGATGTTGGAAGTAATAGCAAAAAAATCTCTTCCATTAATTAGTTTGTCAATGCTGTACAATTGTGAATTACTAATGTTTTTTTTCTCCTAATTTCCAGTCATCACTTGTCCAGCTGGTCGAAAGAGTATGCTAAAACTTGCTGAGAGAATGGTGATGAGCTTTTGTGCTGGAGTTGGTGCATCAACAACTCACATATGGACAACGTTGTCTGGAAGTGGTGCTGATGATGTGAGAGTCATGACTAGGAAGAGTATCGATGATCCAGGGAGACCTCCTGGTATTGTGCTGAGTGCTGCAACATCTTTTTGGCTGCCAGTTTCTCCTAAGAGAGTGTTTGATTTTCTCCGGGATGAAAACTCTAGAAATGAGGTAAATCATTAAGCAAATTCGCCTTCAATTAAGTTCACTCTGTTTTATTGTGTGTCCTAAATATATGTGCAGTGGGATATTCTTTCAAATGGAGGGATTGTTCAAGAAATGGCACACATTGCAAATGGTCGTGATCCAGGAAACTGTGTATCTCTACTCCGTGTCAATGTATGATAGCATTATTTAATCCGGTTTGTTAATTTGGCAAAAAAAAAAAAAAAAAGAAATACTCAAAATAAGTATTTCTATTTTTGCAGACTGGAACAAACTCTAACCAGAGTAACATGCTGATACTCCAAGAGAGCACAACTGATATAACAGGATCTTATGTTATTTACGCTCCAGTTGATATTGCTGCAATGAATGTGGTGTTAGGTGGGGGTGACCCTGACTATGTTGCTCTGTTGCCATCTGGTTTTGCTATTCTTCCAGACGGACCAATGAATCATCATGGTGGAGGTAATTCAGAAATCGATTCTCCTGGTGGATCGCTACTAACTGTAGCATTTCAGATATTGGTTGATTCAGTCCCAACTGCAAAGCTTTCCCTTGGCTCAGTTGCGACTGTTAATAGTCTCATCAAATGCACCGTTGAAAAGATCAAAGGTGCTGTAACTTCTGCAAATGCATGATCGAAATCCAAGGTAAAACATCTTTTACACGTGTTTTACTTCCTCTAACTATCCCAGTTTATTCGTAGTATGCATCTCTCTTTTTAGTCCGTGAAATATTGAAAAACAGTTGAACTTAAAATTTCTCATTATACTCACAGTGAAATGATTTTTATCCAACACAAACATCTGTGACTTGTTTTGAAGCTACAAATTTCAATAGCCTTTTACTATGGTTAGTTATTTGTTATGAACACTTGTCTTAGTGCATTTTTTTTTTTGTGATAGGTAGCAGGTGGCCTTGGAGGGGGGAAGAGTTACAAGATTGTGAGATGAAAGGGAAGGAGCTAGTGGAGAAGGCAACCCAAAGGAAATCCTTGCAAGTGGTGATTGCTTTTTTTGGCAAAAAAGCATTTCACTATCCTGCAAGGGTGTAGTTTTTTATTTTAATATAGGGTTTAGGGTAGACTTTACCAATGTTATATTGGTACATGTCAAGAATATTATCAAACTAAGCTAGCAACAAAGCTTTATTTTGTTTTGAACCCTTTTGCTTTAAGGGTTAATTGTTGGGACAAGTTCTCTATGTTTTAAAAAGAAGTTTAGTTTGACTTCTGAAAAGCTTGTGTTATAATTTGCTAGCGCTAGCAAATTTATGGTTTCGTTTTTCTTTGTTTTTGCATTAATTTGAAATATTTTAGTTTCGGATATGTTGTATGGAAGTTGCAAAAAATGATTCGTGAAGAATTAAGCCATGAATTTGATTCATGGTGTTTGCAACTTGTCATACTTGGTCGACAAATGATCAAAATCATTCTTGAGAACTCGTACAAGTACAAGAGTCCAATATTAAGGGCTTATTCAGTATAGAAAAAATATTTTTCAAAAAATATTTATCAATTTTTCATGTTCGGTAAGTCAAATGTTCAGGAAAACATATTTTTTTTAAAAACTTAGTAGTTTCTTACTTCCAGGTGTCTCCAACACATCTCACCTTCACCTCCTACTTCCATAACCCCTATCCCCACCACCCATTCTTCACCCTTCTCCTATAATATTTGTCTAACTTATATATATACAAATATTTTTATAAAAATTTTTTTTTTTTTTTTGGCATATGTAACTAACACAAATTAATACTAATATTTTTTTTATCTGAACATGTTGATCCATTCCTTCCATCAACTTCCAAGGATAGTTAAGGGTCTGCTACAACTTGACAAGTGTCAAATGCCTTAGGACAAAATTTGACAAAACTAATTTTTTTTGTAAGCAGAGTTTTTATGTATATATAGTTTATACCAGAGGGTTATAAAATTATTAGGCCTTCTGGACTGATGGATGATAAAATCCATAGTAGCTTCACAAAAGTCCTACATCGGTAGAGAGATGGGAATCTGATCTCTTTATATGGACTTGGACAAATTTTCCTCAGCTAATTTCTAGGGTTGAGTTAGGCTCAGATATCATATCTTGACACACATGTATGTTGTGTTGAGATCTTTTTTTGTTAATAAAACACCACTCAGACATTATCTGTGTAATTGAAAGAAAAAAAATACTAATATTTTCATGAAAATTATTTTTCTTCGTATCAATCCTACGGGAACGATAAGTTTAATTAATGATGATGATAAGAAAGGGATAAAAACTAGAACATGTTGAAGAAAGTAGAAGAGAGCAGGAGAAGAATTATGTTCTTCTTAAATTAGGTTTGACAATTAAGAAAGAAATGAAAAAGTCAAACTTTGTTATAATTGTACCATATCTGAAAAGAGGACGTTACTGCATATTTCCAGTAATATATTCCGTCAATACAAATCATCAATAACTTGTTCAAACACTATCACTACTACTTTAGTATATATATTCTGCGTTTATTTATAACATTTCTAACTGAAAAATAGACCTATAATGAGAAAATAAAAATATTTCTACGTTGAGTTGGATTTGAGAAATTATGTGAAATAGTACTAGTACATCATTAGCAGGATGTATTAATAATGAATTTTAATGGCAATGACTATTGAAGTTGTTGCATCACATAAATGAACTGTGCAAGACTTTGGTATAATTGGCCACTGTTCAGTAAAGCCAGTTTCACTGGTGGTTCCCATTATGTTTCCTGTACACACAGCATCATAAGTCAAAATATTAAACACCTTATAATAATATACTTAGAAACTTCCCATACTGGTATATCTCAGTACCGACGATGAGACCAGAAATACGTATTTATTTATTTCTTTATTTATATGCTCTCATGGGGCTGCATGATACTACTATGCAATTTGTGTGACTAAATCATGTAGCCTCTACACAATATGCATGGGATATTAGTTGTTCATTTTAATTACGTATTTAGTTTAAGTTATTAATATATAGAACTTATTATAGTTAGGAGTCATTTATTTTTATTAAGATTAAGACGTTTTTGAATTTGAATACACATTTATGATTTAACTATTAAGATATGCATTAATAAGATCTAGATGTCTAGCTAGGGGGATGATGGCTTGAATAAAAAAAGATGTTGTATTAAGATCTAAATTTTAAATAATTAAAAATATTTAATTTTCAACATCTTACTATATAATATTTATCCTTTTTTAATTAAAAATTATAAAATAAACAGACATATCACTTGGAACAATAGATAATTAAGATCTACCTATTAGTGTAAAAAGTTATTACACTTACAATAACGATATTACTTAAAATCATTTATAAACTATTTAAAACAAATTTAAGTGATATACATAAATAATATTGTAAAGATTTTTCCTACCCTCGGTAAAACTTAAGAAGTCATAGCAGATATTAATCAATTTTTTAAGTTACATTATCATGTATATGACTTGAAAAAATAAGTTATCATTTATCCAAATCTTGCCATTACCATTTATAGGAAAACAAAATGCCAAGTGCCATGGTGGATAATGTGAATGAAGGAGATCAAAACTCAAAAGCTTAGTTGAAACTTGAAAGCAAAAAACGTCACTAAATCACTATATATTGTCCCATTGAAATTTTTTGATTGAAATCGTGATAAAATATAAAACATGAGTGTTTTTACATGGAAAAATTAGGAAACTTTTCAATATTTCAGTGAAAATCTGTTTTATATCATGTGTTTTCCCAGTGAGCTAGTTCGATGGAAAAATTATATTTTATAACACAAGTTTTTCATTGAATCGCGATAGGAAAAACTTTTGGGTAGAGAAAACGGCCAAAGCGCGCCGGAGTATACGAACCATGACCAATTTAGCTTTATAATCACTTGATTTATGTTTTTTTGTTACACTTTTAACCCCCTCCTTCTACAAGATGTCCCTTTCAGTTCAGTGGCAATAAAATTGTGACTCGAAAAAAAAAAAGACCTTCTCAACCATGAATAGACAATTATAATGGTATAGATAAAATTTGCACGTGATATAAGAAGCTAGCAGAGCATTTGATGCTAAACATGGACCATAAATCAACTTCGTACGTACAGTATAAATTCGATAAAAAAATATGGTTCATGTTTTAATTATGATTGCGATCGATGATGCGAAGCGCGCAATTTACCTAGCCCTGCACATGATGATAATGAACTATCCAAAATAAATACCAACTATCTGATACATTTTAAATGACACCTTTTTTATTGATATGAAAAAAAAAGGACATCATTTTATATTCAAAACTCGTTTAACTTAAACTTTAATGACATGATCCGACAGTCTGTAGTCATAAATTATTGTTAAAAAATGATAAAAATCCGACATTGGTGGTTAATGAGATGGGTGGACTCCTTATAAGGTTTGCTCCCTTTGAGCTAGCTTTTGGGGTGTGAATTAGGCCTAAGACCTAATTTAACATGATATCATAACACATTAAAGATCACAAAAGTTCTACAAATAGTCTTGGGATGTTAGAAAGCAAGGTTCGAAAGGGTCAAATCTATAATAATTCTATCATATACAATTGAATTACAAAAACTTTTGAATAGGTATTTTACATTTGAACTTATTTTTTCAGGTTAAAAAATCTCTTTCCAGTTACACTGAAACAATTAGGAGATCAATTCTCTAACAGGTTCTACTTCTGCCAGCAATATGCTACGTCTAAGAAAACTTTTACTATACCAAATGTCTCAAGTCTTTTTTTTTTCTTCCTCGAGTTAAATAAAATGAAGCGAATAGAATATTTTGAAAATCGATGGATGGTTGTTAGTATTAAATTTGAGGGAAAAATGATATTACCAGAACATCTCAAAGTTGTCTGAGGAAATTTAAGTACTCCCTCCGTTCACTTTTACTTAGTTTGCTATTTTAAAAAATAAATTTTTAACTTTTACTTGTCACTTTGAACATATCAAGAAAAGACAAAAAAAAAAGTTTCTTATTTTACCCTCAACATTAATTATTTATTCCCCAAATCATTTTCCAAAACCTAAGTACTATCACTTAATATGAATATTATTTTTAAGAAGCGTGCAAAGTCCAAAATGAAGGAATCGAAAAGAGTAATTCATGTCTTAGCGTTTTTTAGCTAATGAATAGACAGACAAATCCAACAGAATGCCATAAAACACAAAGGGTACAAATGCATTAATCGATAGTAGGTGATTACTCCCCACTTTTCTCCTTCTTCTCTCGATCGGTACTTGTTGTGGTCACAAAGAGGCACAGAAATATTTAACATGTTCATGGAAAGTGGTTCAGACCACTGTCTTTTAGTTGTTACTAATTTTGAATGAAAGTAAATAGCTAGGGACCGAGACAGCAGGTACACTAACTCTCATTAATTACACTTCTTCCTAGCTGTTTGGACCCTTTAGGATATACGGATCTGCAATTGTCAATTGATAGTAAAAGGTCGTGAAATTAATACTTGAGCTGATCGATATTATGAGAGTGCAATGAAGTCCCATACTATAGAGTAAAAAAGTAAATCAAAAGATAAGAACCAACATGGTTTATAAGAGTAAATCCTATTTGGAAAAGGACTGAAGCTAAATCAATCTAAGAAGAAGCTCTTTAACTCTTTTACTGGTATGGATCATTCAAAAAAATTGGCCAGCCTACAGAAGCCTATCATTGGACGTTAAAACAAGTGTTTCAGCTTCCTATAGTTTCACGGGCCAGAGTGTTGGGATCGAAATAATTAATTAGGTGTCATGCAAAAACTAACAAAACAAATCTGGAAAGACCCAACACAAAGTCTGTATGGACGGCCATAAAATGGATAGACCGGCCCATCAGTGTGATCCATTTACTAATGCTAAGATATATAGGCTGATCCATTTATAACAGTTGAAAAGGAACCTGATCCCCCGTGAAATTTCATGGTAAATAGGATTTGAGACCCTTGTTTGAATTTATCCCCGTTTAAGGAATAACTTTAATACAATCTTCATTCCATTTTGCTGGAATGACAAGACTTGCATTGTTTACAAGTTATGATGGGCATGACATGTACAACTTGATAGAAATTGTTCAGATGTTATGTTGAATGAGAAAAACTAGTGTCACAAATTTTACCAAACTAGCAAGACTTGTACTATCTACATTCTACATATCTTGCTAAATTTCTTGTCATTTTGGTAAAACTTGTCTTTGTTGTTCCATTGTTCACAAATTCTGCCGTACTACTCATAAAACTGGATACAATTTTCATTTTACCTACCTTGTGTATATGTTCACAAATTTTGTTAGATTGGCGATACTTCAACAATCAGGTTGCTCGTTTTTAGATACGTAAGGTACAAATATGCAGCAGTACACAATCAGGAGAAGATGCAGTGGGAAGTGAGAAACAAGATACAAAGCAAAATCCCTTCTTCTTTTTTGGTATGCAGATACAACAAATTCTCACTTGAAATAGATTAAAGTTTGAGGTAAATCACATCATGAGGAAGGAGGAGAAGTTCTGCCGATGGGACTATATATTAGCAAAGCTTTTAAAATCAGGGCAAAAGTTAAACATCATCCCACACACTATTTGTGCAAATACTCCAAAGTAACAGATGAAGGGAACACAGGATAAGTATTATCCACATACTAATGCTGATAACTGACATTTCGGATTCTGATATCAAAATACGTCAAAGCTTAAGGTCTTAGGAAGCTGAACCACATAACAGATAGCAAGTTTTTGAATCACAATTCACAAGCAGACAAGCTTAGAGTGACTTGAATAAACTGCCACAAAACTTGCCTAATCAACTAAAAGCACCTGATCTTTCAATTTAGCAATTTCCCAAAATACTCTTGTTGAGAATATTAGCAAGACAATGACACTGTCGTCATGAATCCTGACCCTTCTTTAACCCAAGTCCAAAATATGAGTGAAGCCAAATATACCAAAATAACATGTGTGATATTACTTGAGTTACCATGGAACTTAGTTTTACATCAAAATTTCCACTTAAATTTACAAAATCATATCTAACAGCTCAAAATTTCCTTGTAATATGATTAATGTAACAAAAGAAAAGACACGCAAACCAAATAAGCATCTTGTCTGGGGCTGAGTTCATGTTGAATAAAATGGAACCACCAGACACAAGTCCCACAAATTACACGACTCTTTTCTGAATCCTCGTCAATCAGCACTTTGACCAAATAAAGCATCATATGTAGTATACACTTGGTAGAAAAAAACAAGAATTCAGTCACATATGTACAGACATATCACCTGAAATATGCAATTAAGTTCCAGCAGAGGGCAGTGCCGCCATGAAAGAATTGTATGATGATTCAAGATCGAAGTGGAGTTGACGGGCCTGCTGTTCTGTCAACTCATCTGCAGCTCCCATTTTTGACAGCCTTGAGAGCCACTCTCTCATCTTTGTCTTCCCCTCAAAATCAGATGGAAGTATTAAAAGTTTATTAAGGGAAGATGATAGGTCTGACAAAAGGGGATGGACCTGGTCTACAGCAATCATATTCAGCTTCAAAGAGTCCATGGCAGTGATGAAGTTCTGCACACACTCAGCCACAACAGAAGCTGAGGATGCAGATGATGTAGCAGCGGCGGCACGGTGCTCCACAGTGGCAGGCACCCCAGAGGTCACAAGCCGGTTTAAGGCAGAAGGGCAATCCATTTTGTAGGTGTCATGAAATTGCTCAATGCTAGGTACGGTATCTTTCAATGTGGAAGATAAGGTTTTGAAATGAGCAATCAACTTCTGGCATTCAGCTTCATATTCAGCTGGTGAAATGATGTCACGAACATACGCCTTCTCGAGCTTTTCCGTTGCCTTTATTATAGCAAAGAGCTCTGCAAAGTTTTCATACATTTCTCTTTCCCGCTTATCATTCCATAGCTTAACCTCCATGGGAGTTGGCAACAAGATTTTGACCTTTGTCAAAAAGGTTGGAGAAGAGGATGGGACACGCGCAAAGATGCTAGTCTTTGTCACTGCAAGAACATTATGCCCTAATGTTACAATATGCCAATCTACAACTAACAAATCTTTAAATTACAGTGATCAGACTTATAGGCGCTACCTCCATACAGATATTTGGAAATAGATATTACCAATTGGATCTAGTGTATAATCATATAATCATTTACTTGAAAAGTGCACAAAAGTTCAAACTTTAAAGAACAGCACATATAGAATTTCCCTTAGATATGATAGCTAAAAATAAATATATCAGTCTACAAAACTAAATGAACAAGAGATCACCATTGTGAGGTAAAAGGACCAGTTCAATAGACATCCTAGACAAATTTATTTGGGATCCTAGTATTCCGAATGATGACAAATACGGTTACCATCCCAGAAATGGGTGGCAGACAATAACCTCCCCAGCAATAGATATTATATGTTTCTCCGATAGTTTCTAGTCTCAAAGTTCCCTCAAGAGGTCAAGTTTGATTAACATGCAGAAAGCATCTCAAGTGAAAATACAGGAGTTAAAACCACATGAAATTATCTCTGTTTATGAGAAGAGGAAGACAGAAAGGAGGTTGAGACCAGAAAAAAATGAGAAATAAAGAAAGAAAGAAGAATAGGAGAGGAAGACAGAAAAATAAGTCTTCATCAAAAATAAGAGTGGAGAGTTAGCGAGAAATGAAAGATGGAGAAGGGGGGCGAAAGAAGGGAATGAGTAGAGAAAAATTGTTGTGTCAATTTAATTTATTTTTTATAATTTTATCCCAGGCTATCTGGGGTGTATACATCAAAAGACAAATACAAGAAGGGGGGCTGGGCCTTACCTCTGAATACAACACAAGGTTGAAGAGTGAAAGGAGGCCAATGTAACATAGACAGTCCAACCCTCGCAAAAGGCATACATATACAATTAACTAACAAAAAAATTCGCCCTGTCATATTTGAGCCTTGTATCAAATTCATTTCAGCCAAACAAAATAAAAGTGCCTTATATATCATAGGGAGTCCTGAAAAGGTTGAATCTCTTGAGACAATTGAAACTCTATCTCTGATTGAAGATAAAGACCTTTCTCCAACTAATATTCATCATTTAGCTGTGAGATTATGCTTAGCTATTTTTAGATTAGTGTGTACCCTTTATCATTGTGTTCTCTTAATTGATTTGATTTAAGTCTGGTCTTCTGATGAAATTGACGTGATAATTATCTTCTTATTTGACTTTAGAGATAAGTTTTAAATGTATTGGGAATTCTAACTTATCGAAAGTTCATCACACAACAAACAACAACATACTCAATGTAATCCCACAAATGAGGTCTGGGGAGTTCAAAACACAATAAATATAACCTTTTCTTGTTATGTTTGATTTGAATTGATCTACCTCTTTTCCTATATTTCAATCTTATTTTTCTCTTCTCTCTCTCTCTCTCTGATTCCTCTTACTGTCCTCACTTCTACCCCTCTACTTTCTCTCCTCTCCCGTTTTTGTACATCCTCACTTCTTACCGTAATGTTGACACTGTCAACAGAAAGAACAATCCTATGTATCAGTTCCAGAGAGAAGGAAAACTGATAGAAAATTTAGAAATAAATAAAGCAATATAATCAAATGGTGGAAAACCTAACCACAAGCAAATACATCTGATGTCCCGAACCAAATGCAAGTAAAGAAATGCACATGTAAAGAGATATGGATAAATGTTATTATACAAATAAGATCAACTTAATGCACACCTTACTAATTACTTGGGGCCAGCTACATGAGTCTACTTCTCTATTCAGCTTTATTTTCTCCTCCATTTTTTCCATGAGTATGGGTAAAACATAAGAATACCTTGATCAATTTTCGGACAAATGTATCTTCTACATATCTTCATCAATCCTTTAGCATTACATTGTTACTTTATTCATTTTGTCCTATCAATTCCACATATCCATCTTTAACATTAGCATTTCAAAAAATACATATTTCATATGCTCGTTGCATCTGGCTCTGCTTAAACTTCTTCAAGGAGAAAATACCCAAGCTAATAGTCATCAAAATACGATATGCAACAATAAAAATCTGAGCTTTCGATTTAAAAAAAGACCAGTAAGCCGTAAGGATAAGTAAGACACTCCATTCAAAAGCTATGTTGATCGGACTCTTCAATAATGACGCCCCACCCATATCTTATCCTTCAAAAATGCACTACTTTTGAAGGATCCGACATGCAACCATCCACATTTTTGAAGAGTCCGAACAACATAGTTCAAAAGCATATCTGAGCAACAAAAACCTTGAGCAAAAGGGAAGATAACTTTACTAAATACTAAAGCCCCTTCTTACACAGATCATATTATTATTATTAATTAAAGGTTAATTAAATACTAAAATCCTCCATAAACATGATATACAGATAGAGCTGAAAACCCCCAGTTAGAACAGATATGCCTAAAGATGCGGATCTAGCCCTTAGCTGCGGATTCAATCGCATCCATTGTTGTTTGTATGTATTGGATTAGTAAAAATATTAAATTACATAAAAAGGAGATGAAAAATTACCCTAAAATTAACAACCCAAAACAAAATTTGTACCACCCAAATCAAGCAGATGGAAAGATATATCTCAAGAAATTGAAGAAACAAATTATAAACTTTGGTAAAGAACCCAAATACATAGAGAGGTAAAAAGAGCAAGGAGAAAAGACTTACGGTAAAGAAGAAGGTGAAAGACGCGACTTTGAATAATGGGAAGAGTGTTGCAGGTAATCAAGAATAAGAGAGAGAAAGGGGTATTGTCTCTGTACTCTTTGCTTGCGACATACACAGGTTGCGTGTACTCTTATTTTTTTCATACGTCTTTTTTATATTGAAGTTCGACTAATTTACATGGATTGGGGCATAGGTCTCCATTCGATCAAATCTAAGATTATTTAAAAAGGGTTGTCTCATTCATTACACCATATCTTTTTTATGCGGACTTTTATATATTACTATTGTATACTTCTTTTTTATTTCCTTTTTTATATTATATATTCATAAACTTTTAAGTTTTTGTATTAGAAGATGCTATATGAAATTATGATTTTGAATTATAAATTTAAATTAGTATTTAAAATTATAACTTCATATCACATATCCACTAAAAAGAAAATAAAGGGAAGGGGCTAGATAGCCTCTAAAATTAAAATGTGTAAATTATTTTTGTAGTTAACTATAAGGCGTAATTTATGTCTTTTTTAAAAAATAAAAGTTCATATTTGTAATTAGACTTGTGTAAAAAAAAATTTACTTCTCAAATACTTAATACTTCCTATATTCTAATTTAAGTGGAAACTTTTAAAATTTAGAAATACTTTAACTTATATTTCATGTTTAATTTTAGTGAGAAGCTTTTATAGCTAATTAAATACATTATATAATGTTTAAAATAACAAAATTTTAAAAAATAAAAATAAAATTATTTTTTAAACAACATAGAAAGGGATTAAACCATAAATTGAAATAGAGGGGAATAATAGAATTTGCTAAGGAGATGTTAATCAAAGTTTGGTACTCCACAATTTCATTGTTGAAAATATAAAAAAAATGAGAGACAATTAAGCACAAAGGAAGTACCACAATCCAAAAGTGTGTTGCAAAGTCAATTTTTGGAGATGGGGAATGAAGTTGTCCACTAGTTAGTTAATAATCATTTGGCACAAAATATTTTTTCTGTTTTAATTATATGATATTATTTGATTGTTTTAATATTGAAAATAGTATAAACATGTTTAGAGAAAAAAATTTCATAAACAAAACTCTTTAAACGACTATATTGTGGATACTATTTTCTATATTATTTGATTAGATATAAAAAGAATTGAAATTTATAATTTATAATTTAAAATAATTTTATTTCACTAATAATAAAGAGAAGATTTTATAATTAAGTTTTTTTTTTTGTGTGATATAAATGGACAAGAAAGGCTACTTTATACCTAACCAAACCTAAAAGCAAGTCATTGCTTCTTCCACCTAATTGGGGGAACTCACAACTTCACCAATCAATTATGAGCACTTTTTATTCGACTCTTTGATTTTACATGCTTGGACCATGTATGTCGTTAGGTTGGTGAAATGTGATTGAAAAAAATATTTGACAAATTGAGATAAAACAATTTTAAGATAACGTGCTACTTATTTCGAAATGCAGAACAAAATAATTCATAAAAAATCAGAATTATTATTCTTATATTTTTAATTAAGCGATTGATTAGTATTTGACTTGTTGAGATCCCTATAATTATAAGCTATTTAATTTACATGTCATAATCATTTTACTTACAAATTTCAACATAATCTTTAAGCAAAACAAAGAAATCTATTTAACCGTGAAAAAACTGTGATAAAATAATAAATATTTTTTTTACCAAAAGCATCAGCCTTTTATATTTTGACTTTTAAAAATAAAACCGAAAATATTTTATCCTCAAAATAAAATGTTTGGATGTGAATTCGAATCAATCAAGCTTAACTTGGATATTGAATATAATAATAATAATATATTCAATATAATCTCGTAAGGAAGATAAAAAAAATAGTGATATACATAAACCTTATTTCTTAAAAAAAAAAGAGAGAGAGAGAGAAAACGGCCTTTCAGTCGGTAGGTACAATTATATCCATTTCTTTTTTTCTTTTTCTTTTTTGGTTTCTATTGCATCCACACATTTAAGTTTTAACCATTTCATAAACGCATGTGAGGATTGTGTATGAACTATGAATATAAGAAAGTTTTAAAAAGTATAAGCGATTGGTGATGCACCTCATGAATTAATTTCTCATTCAAGTTTTGTGTATTAATATTTTAATAGGGAAACACCTGAATGAACCTTATCCAATATAAATTTAAATTAATTTGAGTTTGATATGGATATCAAGTCTCAAATGAAAATTTATGGGACTCTACAAGATGTGTTCAATTCGAATTGAGACTCTAGAAAGTGTGTTCAATTTCAATTAGAATTAATCCTAAACTCTAGTTCATGCCTATATAAAGGGTACTAAATTCTCTTAAAAGACATCTCGAAATTTCGTAAAGAGATAGAAATCTTGAAGATTTCGTAAAAAGAGCGAAATCTCGAATATTCCGCAAATTGATGGAATATTCATATAGAGGTCAAATCTAAATCATATTAGTTTGAAAAATATGTCACTAACGGCCCTCGAATCATGGATAAATTTTAGGAGAGTTGAATTAAGGGAGAAACAGAATTGTACCTGCATTGAAGAATAAATTATGTTTCTTCTTATTTTATTGTGATTGCAATTTATTTTTTGTCACTTTAAGATTTGTTGCAAACAAATTGGCACGTCAGTGGGACCAAATATACCCTTCATCTCTTCTCTCATAAATCAAATCTGAAGCTGCAAAGGTGGAAGAATGAGTACTTCAAGCCTTGTCTTTGAGTTTCATCAAGTCTACACTCCGACAAACCTTGAAGCAGGGGGCATTTGTAAACATTTAAATTTTGTGGAACTCTATAAAATGTGTTCAATTCGAATTAAGACTCTAGAAGGTGTGTTTAGTTTCAATTATAATTCTTAGAGGCTACTCAACCCTAAACCCTAATTCATGCATATATAAAGAGTACTAAATTCCCTTAAAAGGCATCTCGAAAATTCCGTAAAGAGATCGAAATCTCAAAAATTTTGTAAAGAGATCAAAATATCGAATATTCCGCAAATTGATGGAATATTCATATAGAGGTCAAATCTAAATCATCTTAGTTCGAGAAATACGCCACTAACGGTCCTCGAATCATGGATAAATCTTAGGAGAGTTGAATCAAGGGAGAAACAGAATTGTACCCGCAATCTTGATGAATGAAATTATGTTTCTTCTTATTTTATTATGATTGTAATTTATTTTTTGTCACTTTAAAATTTGTTGCAAACAAATTGACACTCCCAGTGGGACCAAATCTGTCCTTCATCTCCTCTCATAAATCAAATATGAAAATCTGAAGCTGCAAAGGTGGAATAATGAGTACTTCAAGCCTCGTCTTTGAGTTTCATCGATTCTACACTCCGACAAGCCTTGAAGCAGGGGGCATTTGTAGACATTGAAATTTTGTGGGACTCTACAAGACGTGTTCAATTCGAATTGAGATTCTAGAAGGTGTGTTCAGTTTCAATTATAATTCTTAGAGGCTACCCAACCCTAATTCATGTCTATATAAAGGATACTAAATTTCCTTAAAAGGCATATCAAATATTCCGCAAATAGATGGAATATTCGTATAGAGGTCAAATCTAAACCATCCTAGTTCGAGAAATGCGCCACTAATGGCCCTCGAATCATGGATAAATCATAAGAGATTAGAATTAAAGGAGGAACAAAATTGCACCTACTATTTATCAATAAACTTATATTTCTTCTTATTTTATTGTCATTGCAATTTATTTTTTGTCACTTTAAAATTTATTGCAAACACCCACCCCTCCCCAACAAAAAAAAAAGAAGGAAGATAATTGCAACACACAAAAGAATCGCCCTTTTTTCAGCTTATAAAAATCTTATCATCCTGATTGATTAATGACTCAGATGTGACAAAGCCGAAAATTGTAAACTGATATACATGCATGGACAATATAATTGACCTAGTAATTATTTTTGTATCCATTTGATAATTAGTCATTAATGCTATATAATTCAAAGCAAAAGGCTTCCAACACAAATCTTGATAAAGCATACATACCAACAAAACTTACACAATGAATTGAAACGCATGGAGTATTATTTTTGAGATTTGAACATTTTAAAAAAGAGCTATTCTTAATGATATTCGCATATGAATTATAATAATGCATGAAAACTTTTTATTTATAAAGAAAAATTGATTTGGTCTCTAATTAGGATTTCTTGCTTTTTTTCAAGAATTTTACATAATAGACATTCACAATAATAAAATATGTATACAATAATTTTAAATTAATTATTTTTAATAAATACATAACAAGTAAGATGGACGGGAGAAAAGTAGCTCCCCAGTTTCTATGCGAGTATTTGGAATAAAAAAGATATTTGCTCATCTCTTTAGACAAGTAACCCGTATAAAGTACTCTTTTTTTTCTATTAATAAAAGCGTGCTATTATTCAATCTTTATGCCTATTTCTCTGAGCTTGAAAGAGAAATACTAGCTACCACTTCTCTCTATTTTTCCTCTATGCTTCCTGCAATGTTTTATCAAATAGCAATTTGCATGTTGTTTTGTGGTTTCAATTTCATAGTATCATCATGTCATCAAACAGATATCCTTAATATTCTTCCTAACCAAGTTTCATCTTCAAGCAATTTCTTGTTTGGAACATCCTCTTCTTGTTACCAGGTACTTCCTACACTTCTGTTTTTTGGGTGAAATGTTGTTTTGAGTACTACTTTTTTTCCTCGGCAGTATGAAGGAGCTATTCTCAGTGATGGAAAAGGTCTCAACAATTGGGATGTTTTTACTCATGAAGCTGGTGAGCTCATACAATTAATGAATCTCAATTTCTTTTAATCGAACAATTTATTAATTTTGGTTACTGTTGTTGCAGGTCATATTAAGGATGGAAGCAATGGAGATGTTGCTGTTGATCACTACAATCGTTATTTGGTAAACCTAATTTATCAATTGAGATTTCTGTAAACATTGTTGTTTATAGGATTACAATTCACAACTCTTTTTCTTTTCTTTTTACAGCTAAGGAAAAGAAGATAATAATTTTTTTTAGTGAAAGAGTAGGTTAATTATTGTTTGGTCAATAATATGTAGGAGTGGGACATACTTGTCTAACAAGTGGGTTGTTTGGT